TAGATATTAAATCGATATTTTTTTTTGAAAAAAGCCTACTTTGATCAAAACCAAAAATGCTCCAAATTGCATTTTAAAACATATCCAGGTATTAAAAATGATTAAAAATGCTAATATAGATATTAAATCGATAGTTTTTTTTTTGAAAATAGCCTGCTATGATCGAAACCAAAAATGCTTTAAATTGCATTTTAAAACATATCCAGGTATTATAAATGATTAAGAATGCTAATATAGATATTATATCGATATTTTTTTTGAAAAAAGCCTACTTTGATCAAAACCAAAAATGCTTCAAATTGCATTTTAAAACATATCCAGGTATTATAAATGATTAAGAATGCTAATAAAGATATTAAATCGATAGTTTTTTTTGAAAAAAGCCTACTTTGATCAAAACCAAAAATGCTTTAAATTGCATTTTAAAACATATCCAGGTATTATAAATGATTAAGAATGCTAATATAGATATTAAATCGATATTTTTTTTGAAAAAAGCCTACTTTGATCAAAACCAAAAATGCTTCAAATTGCATTTTAAAACATATCCAGGTATTATAAATGATTAAAAATGCTAATATAGATATTAAATCGATAGTTTTTTTTGAAAATAGCCTACTTTGATCAAAACCAAAAATTCTTTAAATTGCATTTTAAAACATATCCAGGTATTATAAATGATTAAGATTGCTAATATAGATATTAAATTGATATTTTTTTGAAAATAGCCTACTATGATCGAAACCAAAAATGCTTTAAATTGCATTTTAAAACATATCCAGGTATTATAAATAATTAAAAATGCTAATATAGATATTAAATAGATATTTTTTTTGAAAATAGCCTACTATGATCAAAACCAAAAATGCTTTAAATTGCATTTTAAATTATATCTAGGTATTATAAATGATAAAGAATGCTAATATAGATATTAAAGCGATAGTTTTTTTGAAAATAGCCTACTATGATCGGAACCAAAAATGCTTTAAATTGCATTTTAAAACATATCCAGGTATTATAAATGATTAAGATTGCTAATATAGATATTAAAGCGATAGTTTTTTTGAAAATAGCCTACTATGATCGGAACCAAAAATGCTTTAAATTGCATTTTAAAACATATCCAGGTATTATAAATGATTAAGAATGCTAATATAGATATTAAATCGATAGTTTTTTTTGAAAAAAGCCTCCTTTGATCAAAACCAAAAATGCTTTAAATTGCATTTTAAAACATATCCAGGTATTATAAATGATAAAGAATGCTAATATAGATATTAAATTGATATTTTTTATGAAAATAGCCTACTTTGATCAAAACCAAAAATGCTTTAAATTGCATTTTAAAACATATCCAGGTATTATAAATGATAAAGAATGCTAATATAGATATTAAATCGATATTTTTTTTGAAAAAAGCCTCCTTTGATCAAAACCAAAAATGCTTTAAATTGCATTTTAAAACATATCCAGGTATTATAAATGATAAAGAATGCTAATATAGATATTAAATTGATATTTTTTTTGAAAATAGCCTACTTTGATCAAAACCAAAAATGCTTTAAATTGCATTTTAAAACATATCCAGGTATTATAAATGATTAAGATTGCTAATATAGATATTAAATTGATATTTTTTTGAAAATAGCCTACTATGATCGAAACCAAAAATGCTTTAAATTGCATTTCAAAACATATCCAGGTATTATAAATGATAAAGAATGCTAATATATATATTAAATCGATAGTTTTTTTTGAAAAAAGCCTCCTTTGATCAAAACCAAAAATGCTTTAAATTGCATTTTAAAACATATCCAGGTATTATAAATGATTAAAAATGCTAATATAGATATTAAATCGATATTTTTTTTGAAAAAAGCCTCCTTTGATCAAAACCAAAAATGCTTCAAATTGCATTTTAAAACATATCCAGGTATTATAAATGATAAAGAATGCTAATATAGATATTAAATCGATATTTTTTTTGAAAAAAGCCTCCTTTGATCAAAACCAAAAATGCTTTAAATTGCATTTTAAAACATATCCAGGTATTATAAATGATTAAGAATGCTAATATAGATATTAAATTGATATTTTTTTTGAAAATAGCCTACTTTGATCAAAACCAAAAATGCTTTAAATTGCATTTTAAAACATATCCAGGTATTATAAATGATTAAGAATGCTAATATTGATATAAAATCGAAATTTTTTGAAAATAGCCTACTATGATCGAGACCAAAAATGCTTTAAATCTTTCATGAATCACTACGCCCTACTAGACGACAAGGGCTAAATTTTGACATATAAATCATTACTTTTGGATTGACCTGTAGGTTGGGTGACAAAATTTGAACGACATAAAGTAACACCTTCCGTGTTCCACGCGGAAGCTAAAATGAACAGGTTCTCTTATTAACGCCTTCAATTACAGTTGATATTCTAAGCATCAAATGCATGTGTTTTCTTCATCACAGAGAAAATTTCGTGTCTATAAAAAAATTGCTAATGAAAATGTCAAATGATAAATTCCAAAAACCAATTTATCATGAGACAAAGTTGAAATTAAATTTACCGTCGTTCATAAATGAAAAGTCAAGTTCTATTTTAAGAGTACATTTTGCACATCATAATAGGTTCGAATAAAGAGACACAGAAAATTGACTTTCAATTTCCACAAAAAAAAGAAAGATTTTTTTTTGTTATTTTTTTTCATGCTCCAACATCCTTCGAAAGCATTTCATCATTGTGTCATTGTCAGGAAAGAAAATGAAATTGGATTTTTTTTAAACAAAAATTCCATCAAGATGCCAAAAAAATTTGTGGTAGAAGAAAGAATTTTTGCAATTTTTAAGAACCGAACGAATAAGCAAAAAAGAGCCTTGACCTATTTAAAAACAATAATGCTATGAGACGTATCACGTATATATTTTTCCTTTTTTTCAATACCAATGAGCTACGCTTACACAATCTATTTTTCATATTTCCCTTGAATATCAACACTATAGCACCTTTGCAGAGCTTTAAAGCTTGTACATTACTGTGAATAAAAAAATTTAACTTTTTATCACTAGGAAAAATTCTTGTGTAGACTGGAAATGTCGCAAATAAATCATACATAACTAGGAATTATAATTAGAATAAGATAAATCATAATGCATTATTTTTATAGAAAAAACCATTTTTTTAGTCGTATTAACAGTTATATCACGAGAAATTATAGAATGCTCAGTTGTGTAGCAAAGAGACATTTGTGGATTATATCGCACCCACTTGCTTTTACAGCAAATATGATCAAAAATACCAACTCTTGAATAGCATTCCTAATTGTTAAAAAAATCAGTTCCACTTTTTAGAGTGCCAAACTCGCACACTTAACCCCAAAAAAATTCTTTCTACGCTATCGCACACATTTCCTCCTTCCTTAATATTCCATTGGTAAGCTTGTCATATAAATCTTTGACTCAGGAATGCAACCTTTACGACGGAATAAAAGAATCTTTTGAAAAAATGTTATAATAATAAGAAAAGGAACAGCTAGATGATATTATTGAAAAAGTTTCTTTTACGTAAATATTCATGGAAGGGAAGCAAAAGTATACATAAGACTAGACAAATGGGGTTTTCATCTCCTAAGAGTTCTATTAGGAATGTACAAAGGTTGAAACAATGGCGCAGCAGAAAAGAAAATGCGATTCAATAATAAAGGAACACGTTGCGGGAAAGAAATTTTGTGATGATAATTTATATTGAAAGGATCGAATAGCATTACATGAGGACGTTCATCCTCTTTGATGATCAGAATTGAGTCAAGTTTGTAAATAGCAAGAGGCACGTTTTGCTTTAAGTCTTTAAGAATTGAGGATTACCTAATACTTGCTGAACAAGGTCAAACTTGAGAGAAAACTTAATGAGGGCAATACAGTAGCTTTTAAAATCACAGAAATGGAATGAAAGGATTTATTGAAGAACTTGAAAGACTGAACTCGCAAGAATTGACAAAATGATGAGTGTTATGCTGTAATATACATAGTGGAGGTGCTTGAGACATACTGAGCAACTAAATTCAGTCATAAGCATCTGGTTAACAACAAGAACCAAGGCAACAAGAATCAAGGCACTTACAAGTCTCTGCGAAGTGTTTCCGCTCGTGCTATCCAAGTCTAACAGTCAGCAACATAATTCATTTCCAGTGCTTTAACTTGATCTATAATAACATCATTCGACTGACTGGATTACCTGAACCAACACACAGAATGCTGAAAAATGTACGAGTAACTTTTAACCACGTTGCATGGCATGGGATTTGCATTCATGCATGACTTATTATTATTTATCATAACTTATTTTCATTGTGGCTTTAAAATCGGACGTGGAAAAACTTTCCTTTCATCATTATCATGCATATGTGCTTGCATGGCACTCAAATATTTTTATGCTGAATAATATTAAATGTTTCCTTATGGACGGAATGAGCGTGCGGTTGACTGATTGCCTCGTGTAGGATTAAATCTACAATAAAGAGAGAGCTTTTAATTTTGATGAATACAAAGGCATGAAAAATGTGAATCCGTGATGTGAAAAAAGCTGTGAAAAATATTTTGAGTTTAATAGAGTCATTCCATGGCAGCAAATGAAAATGTTTGAATAAATGAGAAGAATGTGGATAATGACAATGGAATGTTTTGTTAATTAAATTTTAATGGCATTAACTCAGATTCAGTTTTGATTTAAATTTTAATGAGATTGTGCTGGTTTTGAGGAATATTAAGGTGCATCAAAGTCAACACTTGCATTTTGTGCTTAAGATAGTGAAATTTAATCTTTGAATCAAAAAAAAAATTCCTATACTATGAAGTGACAAAGAGATCAACCATATGAGTAAAACAGGATATGGCTTAAGATTCTTATCAAATCCAAATAATTATTTTTCGACAAAAAAAATCTTCTAAGTGACCTTCGAAATTCAAAATCTCACAAATTATCATTTTCACTCCAAACTTTGAGTGCGTCAGTCAACTTTTATAAATCTTGTTCATTTTTCAATCATTTCCAAATTATCAAGCATGAATTCATCAAAACGCACCAATAACATGGAACCTCTTCATAACTCAACACTCCGACCAGAATCAAGAAGAGGAAGAGACGTAAGAAATAATACAACAATGTCAACTCCGAGAAGCTCAAGACAACAAACTCCTGCGATGGATAATGACAATGACATGGTCTGCCTTTGTTTCAAACCAACACCTCAAATGATGAATCAAATGGCTTCAAATGGTTGCAATTGTACCTGTAATATGAATCATATTGGTGACAATATGGACATAAGTGGCATTGAAAGGATGGAGCCAGATCAATCGTCCAAAATGAATAGAAGTAGAAAGCTCCTTCGACGAGATAAGAACATGCACGAACTTGAAGAGACAATGGCCGAAATTAGCATGCAAAATGATTTTGAGGAGACAATTTTGGAAGTTGAAGACGATCCAAGCAATGTTATTCCATTGGGTCGACACTATCGTATCAATTCGTTCCGATAAATTTATATTTTTTTAAAGACTAAAATAAAATCATCAATGTCAGTTTCAAAATTATAAAGTTCTTGTAGTTTTAATAAGGTAATTTATGACTTTTAAGTCTTCAAGCTATAGCCTGAATACGGAGAATGTTAATGCTGAGTAGAATTAAACTTTTGTTTATTTTATAAACATCATACAGCATTTTCATGAGAATCCTTGACTAGAAAACTTTCCATCTCATTTACATATGCAACAGAAAACTTGTTCTTGTCATAGTTTGGATGTAATGTATACAGCAAATTTTACGTAGATGAAATCTGAGAATTTAAAGGAATAATTATTACTGTCATCATTATACAGCATTGCGACTTGTTCTTTGTGCTCATTAAATGGAAATTTTTGCATCATCTCTGCCGTCTCTATTATTTGAATCTTACAAGATGGATGAAGCGAATCAAATTTCATATGCAAAACGGATTTGTTATAGAATGTGTAACTCCTTGATTGAGGTTTATTATACATAGACATATTTACAATTATTATGTATTGACAAATAACATACATAGTGGGGTTTTTTCCTTAATAACGTCCAAAAACGATTCTTTGGTTTCTGCGGATTTCCTACCTTTGAGTAAAAAATCTTTAAATTAATTTTATTCGATAAATGCAAACAGTCTGGGAATATGTCTGGGTCAGAGTATCAGAAGTCAGAGTAGGATCTTCATAGAAACCTTCTTCTCCCTGAACATAGGACATCATCCATGCACAGCACCTAAATTAAAAATAAAAATTGAAACCCAAAACCAAAAGACGCACAGAAAAATATGAGCACATGCCAGATTTTTTCATTAAATTTCTGCGAAATTTTTGGATCCACATGATTGTTTTTTGTAGGTTTTTACCTTCTCAGATATCACGTAAGCTTTCAAAGCAGTAGGAAATTTTTAAATATTCATTAATTTTGTGGATACAAGAAGTGAAAGATGCTTTGTAATTAAGCTTTAAAGCGAATTTATTTGAAGATTTGTACAGATAATTCACGTTTTCAACTAGGGTGACTCTTAGGGATTATACTTTAATATTTTAAAATTTTTCTAGGTTTGTATGTATTCAGGTCGACTTTAGTCAAACCTTTTTCTTGCTCTGGATTTGCTGCTCGAAACATACATAATTGAATATTCCTTCTTACATGCGCTCTACAATCTTTATTAATTTAAATTGTTCATTCCGTTGATATTGATGTATGTGATCTCAAGATATAAAAAAAAAAATCTAATTTTATAATCCACACACAAGCACAGACAATTTGATTGATGAAAATAGGGGGAAGAAAGATCATCAACTGAGAATTTTTCATCACATGCCATCGTCGATTGATTACATTTTTTTACTCATCCACACTCCCTTCTTGTTATCAAATTTCAATTAATGAAGGGAAAAAAGTTACAAGTCTGCTTGCCACAAGCAACAAAACCGTAGCTTTAAATATTCTGTGGTAATGTTTCAGCAATTTTTTTAAAGCTATTAGGAAGTAGTAAAACTTTTACGATGATGTTTACTTATTTTGAAAAGCATTGAGGCATTGCCGTCATACTATAGTCATAAAAAGACATAACTTTTGAGTTCTGCTTAGCAAAAAGCTTCCAATCCTCTTTGAGATGACAAAAAAAATGTTGTCTGAATGAATCTTGAATGAAAGGATCTACAAAATCTCAAAGTTTTGTTTGTTAAAATATGTTGAAAATCTTTTTGGCATATCCAATAAAAACATGTTATTCTGGATCAAAAAGAGTAAAAAAGTATAAAGAGAAACTTTTTTTGAAAGCTACAAAAAGTCAGAGATAAATAATCTGATGAAAAAAATTCAATAATCTACACAGAAAAAAAGGTAAACATACACCCCATAACAATAAAAATCTCTTCGTCCCATCTCCTCCACATATCTGCTACGTAATTCAATCAATTTCTATTTGCAAAAGCGAGAATTCACCTTTTTATATTCATTTGGAATTTGAGGAAAGGTATTTGGATAAGCTAAAATATTTTTAAGGACATTTCATTGGAGATGTTGTGATGGAATTGCCGCTTTGTCTGAGAATTTTTAGAATTTTTATTGACTTGAAGTTTTTGGATCGTCAGAGTTGTTGAGGATTTTAAAGCTTGTCGAATCATAGTAGCTAAACTAGATAGCTATAAATCACAACCTTTTATTACTGTTGTTAACTTCCCACGTAACCATAAGTCGACGAATGAAAGATTTTATATATTACATCAAAATCTTCCATGTATGTTCCATATGTACATTCCATGTATCGTACATTGAACATTATGCTAATATGAAAAGGGACGATTTTTAGTCGATTTTACGTCGATTTCACGTCGATTATTTTTTTGAACCAAAATCAAATTTTTTTTGACCGTTACAATATAAATAAAAACCGTTACAATTTAATAAATTAATCACACTTTGTATGAAAATTTGGCTGAGCCTTATATAAGTGATTTCTGATTGCACTTGTGAAGTATATAGCGGCTCAAGAAAAACGACGTGTAATGGATGAAAAATCGACGTCTATTGGATCATCCAAAAAATTGCACATTTAAGTTGATTTTTTCATTGACGGCGATTTTGGTAACATGGGATATGTTTTGAAATGCAATTTTAAATCAATTTTGGTTACGATAATAGGAGGCGTTTTTTTTAAAAAATATCAATTTTATATCTATATTAGCATTCTTTATCATTTATAATACCTGTATATGTTTTAAAATGCAATTTAAAGCATTTTTGGTTTTGATCATAGCAGGCTATTTTCAAAAAAATATCGATTTTATGTCAAAATTAGCATTCTTTATCATTTATAATACCTGTATATGTTTTAAAATGCAATTTAAAGCATTTTTGGTTTTGATCATAGTAGGCTATTTTCAAAAAAATATCGATTTTATGTCAATATTAGCATTCTTTATCATTTATAATACCTGCATAAGTTTTAAAATACAAATTAAAGCATTTTTGGTTTTGATCATAGTAGGCTATTTTCAAAAAATGTCGATTTTATGTCAATATTAGCATTCTTTATCATTTATAATACCTGGATATGTTTTAAAATGCAATTTAAAGCATTTTTGGTTTTGATCATAGCAGGCTATTTTCAAAAAAATATCGATTTTATGTCAAAATTAGCATTCTTTATCATTTATAATACCTGTATATGTTTTAAAATGCAATTTAAAGCATTTTTAGTTTTGATCATAGTAGGCTATTTTCAAAAAAATATCGATTTTATGTCAATATTAGCATTCTTTATCATTTATAATACCTGCATAAGTTTTAAAATACAAATTAAAGCATTTTTGGTTTTGATCATAGTAGGCTATTTTCAAAAAATGTCGATTTTATGTCAATATTAGCATTCTTTATCATTTATAATACCTGGATATGTTTTAAAATGCAATTTAAAGCATTTTTGGTTTTGATCATAGCAGGCTATTTTCAAAAAAATATCAATTTTATGTCAATATTAGCATTCTTTATCATTTATAATACCTGCATAAGTTTTAAAATACAAATTAAAGCATTTTTGGTTTTGATCATAGTAGGCTATTTTCAAAAAATGTCGATTTTATGTCAATATTAGCATTCTTTATCATTTATAATACCTGGATATGTTTTAAAATGCAATTTAAAGCATTTTTGGTTTTGATCATAGCAGGCTATTTTAAAAAAAATATCGATTTTATGTCAATATTAGCATTCTTTATCATTTATAATACCTGCATAAGTTTTAAAATACAAATTAAAGCATTTTTGGTTTTGATCATAGCAGGCTATTTTCAAAAAAATATCGATTTTATGTCAATATTAGCATTTCTTATCATTTATAATACCTGGATAAGTTTTAAAATGCAATTTAAAGCATTTTTGGTTTTGATCATAGCAGGCTATTTTAAAAAAAATATCGATTTTATGTCAATATTAGCATTCTTTATCATTTATAATACCTGCATAAGTTTTAAAATACAAATTAAAGCATTTTTGGTTTTGATCATAGCAGGCTATTTTCAAAAAAATATCGATTTTATGTCAATATTAGCATTCTTTATCATTTATAAAACCTGGATATGTTTTAAAATACAAATTAAAGCATTTTTGGTTTTGATCATAGCAGGCTATTTTCAAAAAAATATCGATTTTATGTCAATTTTAGCATTTCTTATTATTTATAATACCTGGATATGTTTTAAAATACAATTTAAAGCATTTTTGGTTTTGATCATAGTAGGCTATTTTCAAAAAAAATATCGATTTTATGTCAATATTAGCATTCTTTATCATTTATAATACCTGCATAAGTTTTAGAAAACAAATTAAAGCATTTTTGGTTTTGATCATAGTAGGCTATTTTCAAAAAAATATCGATTTTATGTCAATTTTAGCATTTCTTATTATTTATAATACCTGGATATGTTTTAAAATACAATTTAAAGCATTTTTGGTTTTGATCATAGCAGGCTATTTTCAAAAAAATATCGATTTTATGTCAATATTAGCATTCTTTATCATTTATAAAACCTGGATATGTTTTAAAATACAATTTAAAGCATGTTTGGTTTTGATTATAGCAGGCTATTTTCAAAAAAATATCGATTTTATGTCAATATTAGCATTTCTTATCATTTATAATACCTGGATATGTTTTAAAATACAATTTAAAGCATGTTTAGTTTTGATTATAGCAGGCTATTTTCAAAAAAATATCGATTTTATGTCAATATTAGCATTTCTTATCATTTATAATACCTGGATATGTTTTAAAATACAATTTAAAGCATTTTTGGTTTTGATCATAGCAGGCTATTTTCAAAAAAATATCGATTTTATGTCAATATTAGCATTTCTTATCATTTATAATACCTGCATAAGTTTTAAAATGCAATTTAAAGCAATTTTGGTTTTGATCATAGTTGGCTATTTTCAAAAAAATATCCATTTTATATCAATATTAGCATTCTTTATCATTTATAATACCTGGATAAGTTTTAAAAT